ACAGTAAGAGATGGATAAAGACAAATAGCAACATAGAACAATTACAAACAAAATACTGTAATAAAAGTTATGTGGATTCCCCCCCCCCCTTTCAAAATGCTTGGCTATATTGCTTATCTGGGAGTCAGTACCATCGAAGGCTGACTACGGGTGTCTGAAAGCTCTCAGAACAAAGCCACAGCTGAAGTGGGTACCACTGCACTGCGTCAAACAGGGCTGATAGAGAAAGTCCTTTGGGGCTGGTGCTGTGGGTGAAGCTGTGGGTGGCCTGCTGTGCTGGCAACCCACAGGGATTTCAGTTTGAATTCCACCTATTCCACATCGGATCCAGTTCCTTGCTAATGTGCCTTAGAAAGCAGCAGAGATGGACCACATGGGAGACTCATGTGTTCATTGGGAGATCATGGGTATTCCCTGGACCCTCCACTTTCATAAACATCTTAGAAGTGAAACAGTAGATAGAAGATCTCTTTCCCTGTGTAACTCTGCCTTCCTATTGCAACGGATGCAACAACAACAACAACAACAAAAAGGGAGGGCGGCGGGGGGGGGGGGAAGAAAAAGTAAAATCTCTCTGGAAATGCATATCACCAGGTACAAGGATTAGTTACCGGCCAGTTGCCTTGTGACCTTGGAAAACGAAAACTAGATGATGCTAAGGGGCACATTTTCCCAAGTGCTAGAAAACTTTTGGCATTTGTCTTTTTTCTTTTCCTCTTCTTTTTATTTATTCATTTATGCTTTTTAAAAAAAGATTTCTTTATTCATTCATTTTTATTTGAAAGGCTGAGTTACAGGGAGAGAAGAAGAGACAAAGAGGCAGGTCCTCCTGGAGCCTCTTCTGGGTCTCTACCTGCTTGCAAGGGCCCAAGGACTTGGGCATTTCTCAGAAGCATTAGCAGGGAGCTGGATGGGAAATGGAGCAGCCTGGACCTGAACTGCAGTCCATGTGGGATGCTAGTACCACACACTGACTCAGCCTGCTATGCCACGGCACAGGCCCCAAATGTCTTCCTTTTCGAACAAGTGATGCCCAGCAAGGCCTGATGAAACGGAGCTCCGAGAGAGGGCTTCTTCCTGGTCATGTCTTAACACCCACCTTATGTCACTGCAGCGAAAATTCACAACTTTTCACCTATTGAACACCTGGGAAGCTATGGTACATGGCACAGTCCATGTAGACCACTGGTATTCTTGTAGCAGCAGCAGTCTTCTTAATGGCAGAGGAAGCACGGACAAATTTTATACAGGATTGAAATTTGGAAAGCATGAAATTTGGAAAGTGTAAAATACGGGAACTACTCCTTATTTAGACTTTCACAATATTACCACATATATTACAACGTATGGTGGGGATGAGAGAGGCTGGCATTGTGGCACAGGGGGCTCAGCCACCACCCGTGATGCTCACATCCGGTATGACTGCCAGTTCCAGTGCCTCGTGGTGTCCTTCCCTGCCCCTTTCATAATGTTGATCATGGGGCAAGGCATGGCATAAAACAAATTTACATAACCTAGCCTGCACCGCATAATCATACGTTACAGCTGAGATAAAAGAAACATCAGCACTTGATGACACTCTAGAAAGAATTTCAATTACAAGCTTACACGGAACCCTGCTGGCATTTATTAGACTATGGAACTGATGCTGTGCAGCTGCAAAGGTCAAGGACCTCATTTGCAATTAGCCCTGGACTTTCTCAAATCCGTGCCACGTACTCAGAGATATCATCTCTCTCTTTGTTTCTTGGATTATATTCGTACGTGTGTACCTCTCCGAGACCTTTTAAAGTTTTACCCTGCGTCCTCTAAACAGAATAAGTAAAAACCATTTTAGCTGTGTGATGTCCAATTCTTCATGAATGGAAAACTTTGAAGAGTAAGGTTGTTTTTCTGAATGGGAGCTTATTTATTTATTCCAGATTGATTTATCGGGCCCGGCGCAGTAGCTTAGCAGCTAAAGTCCTTGCCTTGTACGTGCCGGGATCCCATATAGGCGCCGGTTCTAATCCCGGCCACCCCACTTCCCATCCTAGCCCCTGCTTGTGGCCTGGGAAAGCAGTCGAGGACGGCCCAAAGCCTTGGGACCCTGCACTCGCATGGGAGACCCCATAAGAGACTGCTGGCTTCAGATGGTCTCAGCTCAGGTCGTTGTGGCCACTTGGGGAGTGAATCATGAGATGGAAGATCTTCCTCTCCGTCTCTCCTCTGTATATCTGCCTTTCCAATAAAAATCGTTTCTCTAAAAGATTTACTTGAAAGGCAGAGTTAGAGAGAGGGAGAGAGACAGAGACTGAGAGATGCTGCACATCTGCTGGTTCACCCACCAAGAAGGGCCAGACCAGAAGGGAACCAGGAGACTGACGCTCCATCAGGTTCTCCCGTGGGAGGCAGGGATCCAAGGACTCACCATGTTCCAGCTGTTCCCCAGGCACACTGGTAGGATCAGAGCAGCTGGGACTTGAACCAGCTCTACCACAGGACACTGGTGTTGCAGGTGGCAGCTGAACCCTCTGCATCACGACAGGGCCCCCCGAGCAGTAGTTTAGCTGTCTGTCTCGGGGGGCGTTACCAGGGTGGCATGCTTTTTCTGTCGATGATTCCCAATAGGAAGCTGAGCCAGGTTCACTGTTTCCATTTGTGGGGAGACAGACGCTCAGAAGCATCAACTGTGACCTTGCCCCAATGCCGTGCAGTGAATGCATGTAAAGCCTGCTCAGCTTTTTAATATTTATGGTAGAGGTCATGACCTTTCTATGAAAAAGTCTGTTGATGATTTCTACCTGTGATGGAGACCTGGATGGAACATGACAAGTTAGCACAGGTGAGAGAACACGATCCAAAATGAGTACTTAAAAAAAAAAAAAGATTTATTTTATTTTTCCATTGGAAAGTCAGATATACAGAGAGGAGGAGAGACAGGGAGGAAGAGCTTCCATGCCATGATTCACTCCCCAAGCGGCCACAACTGCTGGAGTGAAGCCTATCTGAAGCCAGGAACCAAGAGCCTCCTCTGGGTCTTGCACACAGGTGCAGCGCCCCAAGGCTTTGGGCCATCCTCTATTGCTTTCCCAGGCCATAAGCAGTGAGCTGGATGGGAACTGAGGTCGCCAGGATTAGAACCGGCAGCCATATAGGATCCTGGTGCGTGCAAAGTGAAGACTTAAGCCGCTAGGCTACTGCACCGGGCCCTCAAATGAGTATTTTTATAAGCCAGAACACCTGAGAGACAGAATGTCACTCACTGGCAAGGCAAATGCCGGGCAGTTAACGCTTCAGAAATAAGCTCTAACATCCCTTGGTCTCCTGGACACTGAAATCCAAAACTCCTCGCTACGCGATTTCACAAGAATCCCAACAGAGATGTTTTGTTCAGAGCGTGTTTTTGTGGGATGGTGTGACTCCACAGTTCCCATCAGTCGACAGACTCCACACAGAGCTGACCAATGACTCACCGGCCCCAGCATGAGGCCTGGCTTCTCTGCGGCACAATAATAAGCATTGTGACAAGGCAGTGAAGCACTGTGTGTGCATGCTCTTCTCACTCTCCTGGTCTCATTCCAAGCATGGGATTCGAACCTTTATCTAAAACATCCATCTAGAAATAGAACGGTTAAAAAAAAAAATCCTTAAGACAAAAAAAAATTGTGTATGAATATATATGTATATCTTGAAAAGAGCATTTTTGCTAATATAAGAAAACTTTCCTAGATATGTTTTTAGATTTTGAAGATAAGAACCCCTGGGGACCAGCACTGTGGTATAACAGGCTATTACTGCCTGCAATGCTGGCATGGCCTCTGGGCACCGGTTCACGTCCTGGCTGCTCTACTTCCAATCCAGCTTCCTGCTGACGCACCGGGAAAAGCAGAGACGGCCGAGTGCTTAGGCACCTGCACCTAAGTGGGAGACCCGGACGGAGCTCCTGGCTCCTGCTTCGGCCTGGCCAGTCCTGGTCCTGTGTCCTGTGTCCGTTTGATGAGGGAATGTTGGCCTTTCCAGTCGGACTTGACAGTAATCTAACAGATTTTGCTTTCCCTATTTTCAGCTCCTGTCTTTCCCATAACTATCATAAAGCAGAAAACAAAACGTAGGTATTCCCTCCCTGCAAAGACCACAACTGGGGATGTAGTCAGCTGAGCTCTAGAACCAGGGAATGGATATATGAGGAGGCCCCTGTCAGCTGTCTGCGAGTAGTGACAATCTGAAACACCGGATGAGCCTGTTGCCCTAGTAAAAGCAAACTTAGTGGGGACTGGAGGACATCGGATGGCAGGCCACACACCCTAGTTTAACATCTATCCTCTCATTTGCGATCTTCACGCCACATGCCCAGGTCAGCAGGGGTCCCTAGGATCCTGCTGGGGTAGACGGGGAGAAAATGGGGAGAAGGCAGAGAAGGAAGAAAGGAGGTGTAGGAATACGGCTCTCTACTACCGGCCCTCCCGGAGACGCGCGGGCTCGCGGGGTCACGCCCTCCGTCCCCGCAGCTCCGCCCCTGACATAGCTCCGCCCAATCCTCCCCACGCTCACCTACGCCCCGCCCACGCTCACCTACGCCCCGCCCACAAGGCCCCGCCCCCGACTCAGCTCCGCCCCAATCCTCTCCCGCCTAATCTCAAGCCCGCTCGCCTGGCCCACTCTCACCTACGCCCCGCCCTCCGTCTCCGCAGCCACGTCCCTGACTTAGCTCCGCCCCCTCTCGCGCCTCACCTCACGCCCGCTCACCTCACACGCTCACCTACGCCCCGCCCCATGCCCACAATCCCCGCCCCCTGACTCAGCTCCGACCCAATCCTCTCGCGCCTCACCTCAAGCCCGCTCGGCTCCACGCCCACCTACGCCCCGCTTCACGCCCACAAGCTCCGCCCCTCACGTCGCCTCTCGGGCCTCGCGGGCCTGGGAGTTGCCTGGGCGACAGAGGGACGCAGCGTGTGGGCGCCCGCTCCCTGGGGGACTGGGAGCTTGGCAGCGGGTGGCAAGTGCGTGTGTGCGCTGGCATGGAGGCAGAGGAGGAGGAGTCCGAGGAGACAGTCGAATCCCTGGAGGCCAAGCTTGAAGAATTCAGGGCCATCCCCAGGTGATCAGCTCCGGCGTCTGACAGGTCCCCGACCTCCTGGAACCCGTCACGTGGGGTTAGACTTGTGGCGTGAACTCTGAGGGAGATCCGAGCTTCCACCTGCTGGTTCACTCCCTGAAATGGTCGCTAGGGTGGAGTTGAGCCAGACCAAAGCCAGGGGCTTCCTCTGGTTCTCCTCCACGTGGGTGCAAAGCCCAAGCAAGCACTTGGCCCATCTCTAGGTGGTTAGCAGGGAGCTGCATGCGAAACGGAACAGCTAGAACTTGAACCTGGCAGATTCATAGAAGATGCCAGTATGGCAGGTGGTAGCTTAGCTCACTACCTCAACGTGCCCTCACGCTTGCCTGTTTGGGCCAAAGGTCTGCTGGTGCAGGTGGGCTGGCCCGGAGCCCCTTGTGGCAGAGAGCATCAGGATGAGCAGAAAGGCCGTCTGGGAGACAGTGCCAGCTGGGCTCAGCCTCACTCAGGGCTTGTTTTAACAGTGACGATGAAGCACCATGAGAACCAAGCAGGGGTGGGTGGACACCAGGGGCGTGCTGTGTCTAACCTGTTCTGGAGGTTGACTCGCCCGGCAGCCTTGGTGCCCTGGATTCCTTGGCATTTCTTGGCAGAGCACCCAGCTAGAAAGATGCCCAGTGCCAGGTGCTCATATAATGTGTGTAGACTGGACCTGGGGCCTATGGGATCTTGGGTGTGAACTGTGTACCCACAGTGCTGGGGGACAGCAAGGGAGCTGGACTTGTGGGAGGGGCTGGAGATCCTAGGATCTGTGACAGATCTACAGAACACCTCAAGGTCAGTGAGCCCACGATCCATAGGTCAGCAGGTCAACTGCAGAGAGGACCAGAAAAGGAAGAGCAGGGTGCCTGCTGTCTGAGGCACAGCAAGGGGCCCTGGGTGGCTGGAGCAGGGGAGGGAGTGGGTGAGCAGTAAAGCTCAGATCCAGGCTGCCTTGTAGTGGAGGACAGCATTGTGCGGACCTCAGGAGCGCGTAAGGGCGTGGACAGAGGGCGATGCTGTCTGACTTTCATAATAGATGGGACAAGGGCAGCCAGACCGGGGACCATTGCACTAGTACGTGTGAGAGGTGGTCCCAGGGGATGCTGTGCAGCAAGACGTCAGACCCCAGATGCGTGCTACAGGAAGGACAGAACAGATCTGGAGGAGGAAGGTCTCTGAGATTTTTAGGTTTGTTTTTTTCCCCCTACTACTTTTAGTTACTGCTTACAGGCCTGTCTGGAGGAAGTACTGTCAGCATACTTTGGGACATGATGTGTCCTCAGTGGTTGTTAGAGAGCCATGGTTGATGTCAAGAACCTGAGCGCCAAAAGAGAGGTCTGGTTTGGCAGTGTATTCGTTTGGGATTGATTGACCCAGAAATGGTGTCTTAAGCTGGGAGACTGGGTGAGGTGGACCAGGAAGGGAGTGTGCAGAGGAGGGACGGGCCTTGCCCCGAGCCATTCACCCCATCACGTAGTCCTCTCCCCATTTAGCACCCAGCAGTGAAAGCATAGCACAGCCCGGACCTGTCTCGGTTGCCTAATGCATTGTCAGGCACCTGTTAGCATGGCCTATTCTAGGATGCTGTGTCAAGTGTCATCACAACATGAATAATGCGCATCCATGACTGTTTTCTATCATCCTTTAGCATGCTAATTTTGTATCTAATTCATTACAAACCATAATTGCTTTCTTCCCGGAGACGGTGTTTCATGGGTACCAACCAACCTGCTGTACAGAAATAGAATTGCTGAGACTATAAATAAGGCCTGTGTGGGAGCTACTTAGCTCATTTGTTGTGATGGGGGTTTCTGCCGGAGGCAGCAGGGTTGTTGTCTGCTGCGAGAGGCATTTGGAATCTGAAGGGAAAGGCTGGGGAAGGACCCCTCGTCTTGCCCCGTGGATTCTGAAGGAGCCATTGCACGAGGTTGGGATTGCCCTCAACAAGGAGCCACAGGATGAATCGGCCACTTCAGCCTAATGATGTGACTTTGAAAAATTAGTTTCTTTTCATTTCACCATTTGGAGAGAGAGAATCACCCCTCTGCTGGTTCACTCCCAAAATGCCAGCAAGAACTAGCGTGGATATGTTACTTTCAGACTCCCATGCTATTATTTAAGGCCTAAGACAGCAATGATAGTTCTGGGTAAACTCAGAACCTTTTAACTGGTCCTCTAATGAAGAATTCCCATGACTCTCAAGTGACTTATTTTGAAAAAAAAAATTTCGAGTTTAGAGAAAGGTTACCAAAATAAGACAAAGAACTCCCATATCCCCTCAACCTTGAATCTTCTGTTCTTACTGATTTTCCGTAATGTTTTTCCCTAAAAAGAAGATGTATTCATTTAAAAGGCAAACACACACACACACACACATCTTCCATCTGCTAGCTCACTTCCCAGATGGTCACGACGGCCAGGCTGAAACCAGGAATCAGGAACTGCATCCCGTTCTCCCATGTGGGTGGTAGGAACCCATGACTTGAGCTGTCTCTTGCTCATTTCCCAGGTGCCTTAGCAAGGAGCTGGGTTGGAAGTGAAGCAGCTGGGACTCAACAATCCTACCAAGGTGTGCTTGCTATTCCCTGGGGAGCGATGCTTTAGCCCCCTCTCATGTATGGAAATCTAAGCGGGATGGGCACCGGGTGTGGCAGTGAGATGCCAGTCAGACACCTGTGACCCACACTGCAGTGCCCAGGCATGGCTCCTGGTCTGGGTCATGCCTCCAGCTTCCTGCTCATCGTGACCCTGGCAGGAAGCGCAGATAGCCCAAGTGGTTGGATTCCGGATGCCCACTTGGGAGACCTGGCTAGAATTCTTGGCTGTTGGGTTTGACCTTCTGGCTGTTGCTCACGTCTGGGGGAGTGAATCAGGATGTAGGAGCTCTCCCTCTCTTGGTCCTGCTGTCATTCCAGCTTTCATGTAACTAAGTCATACTCTTCTAAAAATGTGTAAATATATACACATAGGTATGTGATACGTGTGTATGAACATATGGATACACCTGTAACTGGGTATCTCTTAAGTGTGTCCACTCATACACTTGGCCTTCTGTATGAATTCTGTATCTGTGATTTAGCTAACCATGGACTTAGTATATTTTTAATAACCACTCATAGTATTGAACTTGACTAAAAAAATGCAGTGTTAACAACTTTTTTTTTTTTTTTAAGATTTAACTATTTTTATTGGAAAGTCAGATATACAGAGAAGAGGAGAGACAGAGAGCAAGATCTTCTATCCGATGATTCACTCCCCAAGTGGCCGCAACGGCCAGAGTTGAGCTGATCCAAAGCCAGGAGCCAGGAGTCTTTTCCGGGTCTCCCACGTGGGCTCACGGTCCCAAGGCTTTGGGCCATCCTTGACTGCTTTCCCAGGCTACAAGCAGGGAGCTGGATGGAAAGTGGGGCCACTGGGATTAGGACCGGTGCCTACATGGGATCCTGGCATGTACAAGGTGAGGACTTTAGCCACTAGGCTGCTATGCCAGACCCATGTTAACAACTTTTGCCATAATGTTAACATTGTGTCAGACATATGCTCTCTGGCAGTAATACCAAAGGATATGCATGGGTCATGTGGTTTTAATTTTCTCAGTTTTATCATTTCTTGGCCTTTTGGCTAAGATCAAGTACAATTTTATCAATTTTATCGACTTGAAGAAGAGCTGGCGCAGGGAGGAGAGCAAGCAGGCACACACCGGATGGAGTTGCGGCTAAAGCAGGGACTGGGGACAGAGTCCGAGTTCCGCACACAGCACTGGAGCCATCCCTTGTGCCTCTTAGGATGCACGGCAGCGGGAAGCTGGATTCAGGAGCCGAGGAGCCAGACATCCTGGGGCTGCTGGAGTCCCAGAGGACCTCGCGACACCCGTGGCAGGTGCTTGTCCCAGCATGCCGTTTATGCAAAGCACATGAGCATCTGCAGACTGTGGCTCTATGGGTGTCCTTGGAGCAGCCCCAGCATTGCTAGGGTCCCTCCCACCCCCTCATGCTGCTTCCTAGCTACTGCTTTTGTAGAACTGGTCATCTTGGATTCCCATCCTCTTCAGTGCATTTGCTGATTAACTCACAGTCCACAGTCGCCTGGCCTTGCACTCCCCCACCTGGTGCTGTTGCCCGGCCTCCCAGTGGGCACATCCTCCGTGTGGGTGCCCGCTGGCCTTCTCGGCCTGACTTTCGTGTATGAACCACCTCACTGGCTCCTCAATGAGAAAGAAAGGCAAGGGAAGGCAAAGGGACGTGACTATGATTTCCACAGGTGTGGAGGGACCAGCCCCTTGCTAAGGATGCCCCTGAACAGCAGGTGTCTGAGACATGAAACTCAGAGTGTATATGGTCTGAGACTTCAAACTCAGGGCTCACCACTGTCTCAGAATAAATGCAAAGTACTTTTTGCTTACCCGTTTAACCAAACAAGTGCCCGTATCATTGGAAGCTTGCTTTGTCTGTTGCTACTGTTCTGGATGCCCGGAAGTGCCTGGTGAAACAGTAGGTGCTAGGTTGTTATCTGGTACATGTGTGAGCCTTGTGCCAATCTCTTTGGACTAAGGGCATGTGGCCGGAATCAGGAGATGGAATTTAATGCTCGGGAGCCGTGGTTCTTATAGGGTCCTTTCTAGAAGGATAGTGGTGCAACCTGGACTTCAGCGAGGTGTCCTGAGAGGCAGTGGCAGTGAGAGACTAATAAGACAGAACCTCGGGAGGCGATGATGTCTTTGGCAAATGCGGGCAGCATTCTCTAAATGAGGCAGGATGCTTCCTTTGGAAATTGAAGGCCTTATTTTAGTTCTGTCTCATGCACTATTTGGAGGATTAAAGAGCCAGTTGCTTGCCAAGGAGCACAAAGTGTTTGAGGTCTTCCCTTACTTACCAGCCAATGGGTTTTCCCACTCTTGTCCCAGGGCCCTTGGCAGAAGACACAAGACCCCTCCCTGGTCAGAGGTGAAGGACATCACCAGTACAGCACAAGCCCTGGCTAGAGAGTGAACATCATCGTGTGGGTCCCCATGTTCCCAAGTCCTACTTGGGGGGAACTCACAGGGCGCCATTCACGCCTGAGGTAGCACACGCGTGGGGTCATACACCACAGAGAGGCATGCCCTGGGCTTGAGGGATCCACCCGCGATTGTTGGCAGGTGGCAGACATCATGTCACCCTGCAGGGCTGCCCACAGCTGACGTACACCCTGAGAAACGGCCTGTGGGTAGAGCAGGCTCCACATTCCTCGCTTTTGCAGAAAGGGATATTCAGGGCCCGCGGGGGTTGCCTTGCGTTATTGGTGAGAGGGGAGAAAAAAACCCCAGAAGCTCTTTAAAGCAAATTAGACTGGGTCTGAAAAGTATGGATCTATGGAAAAGCACCAGAAACATTCGTGGAAATCATGATGTCTGTTGATGGAGCTTCCTCCCCTCTGGATAAAGAGGTTGACAAGCCTGTCCCCATGATAAATGCTGGTGAGGGTGTGGATGGGTCACTGGATATTTAGTACGGTTGATTCCACATCCCTATTTTGAGTATTAAGAAATTTTATTTTTCTCCATTGAAACATAGTCAGCCATAGTTGAGTGTAGCTATCTACACATACACTCTGCAAGTTGTCTCCAAACTCAGTGAAAACACGATGAGATTTCCGTAGTGCAGTAGTGACAGTGGATGGTTGTCATTGCCCCAGTAACCACCACAGCCCCAGTAACCAGGCGACGTTTCTCCAAGGCCACAATGGGCCGTCTAAGCCTTAACACTACTCCTCTTTTCATTAACCCCCTGCAACGGGTACTCATCTTCTCAGCGCCGGCAGGCTGAGTAACCTGCCCAGGATCACATGGCTTAGGGTGAATCAGGATGCTTTTAGCTGTGCGGGATGGGAACTGCCAGCACGTGGTGGCACAGGTGCTAGCTGACATTTCAGGGAAACCAGAAGTGTGCAGGTTTCAGGGTCGGTGGAATTAACGGCTGCACCAGATCTTCAGGCAGACTCACTTGTGCCTTGTCTGGAGGCTCACGCGTGGGGCATTGCTTTGCCCTCTGGCCTACCCCCTTCCTGGGGTCACTGGGTTTTTGTGGCAGTTGCTGGTGTTACTTCCATACTTGGCAATGGGCAGAGTCACCAAAGAGACCTCTCCTCTGTGGTCTCCCAAATAGAAAAAGGACTCAGTATACCTGCCCTGAATCCTCTTAACCCAGCTGAGGATGTGCCCTGCCATGGGGCTGCCCTGTTGAGCTTAGGCCATTGCTGGACTTGTGCTTGGTGCTGGGCATGCGTTCACACTCCCTTGGGTCCTCTGGGGAACTCTGCTGAGGAGCTGCCCCTGTCTGGACCTACTCCAGGTGATCAGCAGAAAGGAGGTGAGGACATGACATCCCCCCCTTTGAATAAACTACACGAGATGGAAGAAGCCTGAGTCCTTCCACATAGGAACTAACAACATCAGAACAACAGCCAGGAACCACGATCGGTCATCAGAACCAGAAGATCAATAAACTTCCGGCGGGACAATGGGAGAGGAACCTTCTCCAGTCCTTACCTAGTTCCAGCTCTGGGCCTCCACCCTCTATAATGACTAACAAGGTTCCTCCTAAACCCCCTGCCCCCCTTCACGCACACACACACACACACACACACACACACACACACACACTCATATACACACACTAATAGGATGAGATAACCAAAGAACAATAAAGAAAGATAGGTCATCAAGGACTCACACATGTCCTATTAGATGGAACACAAAGAACAAGTATCCATTAGCAAGGTATGAGAGATTTCTCTGCAACACCCCCAAACTCGTTGCACACCTCAATTGATGAAGTGTCATTGAAATAGTTGTAGGAGGTAGTCAAGAACTTACATGTAATTTTTAACATATTGTCTACTCAATACTATGTCAGATATCACATGTTTGCCTTGATTTAACCTATAATTTATGCTTGGTTGTTTGTTACTTTTTGAACCTGTCATTGATACTGTCTCAACCCAGATGTTTTGAAGAATTGGACTTGCATTTTTTTTTTAGCATATTGTTCACTCAATACTATGACAATTAATTCCATAATGTTGTATATTGACGCTGATGTTTTGTTGGGGATTTTAACTGACCAGAACTTTACTCTGTTAGCTCTACCTTCGGACCAGAGAAGGTCTCCCCAAGAGGCCACTAAACTTATCTGGACAATAAGATGCTGGACTTTATGCTAGGTATATGCTTGCAATGAAGGAATTTCAACTGAACTTGAACCGCAGTCATGCAGCAAGGTGGAGCAATCCACTATGGGAGGAGGGGTGTGGGAGGGGTGGGAGGAATCCCCAGTGCTTATAAAACTGTATCACATAATGCAATGTTAATAACAAATAAAAAAAATATTTATTTATTTGGAAGGTAGAATTGGTGGGGGGTCCGTGATGTGGGGCATGCTCCAAGGGTCCTGCTCAAGTGGTTTAGATAGTTCAGCAGTTCTGAATTGTTGCCAATCTTGCCATTCCAAGCACAATGCAATCTCTCCAGAATCGACTGGTTGACATAGTCCATCTTAGAGTCTCCGTTTGCCCTGATATTCATTGCCAACACTGGCTGGGGTAGTTGATTGATTTGTTCTGTCCTCTGACCTCTGTCATGGTATCAAGTATCCTCTGCAGATTCCAATGTACAGTCATCTCTCCCCATATCTCCTTGCTCCTTTCCTTAGTCGATCTACAATCCTTGTGCCCAGGAGTGCGTGGGTTCTCCAGCCCATTCTTTGGAAGCCCTGTGGGTGGTGTGCTGGTCTGGAGCTCTGCATGCCCATCAGAGTCCCAGACTCCTGGCACAGGAGCTGGCCTGGTGCCTTACCCTTCCACACACCCAAGATTTAGGCTCATTGAGGTTCTCCAGGCCTGGTCCACCAGCACACCAGGGGCAGCATGCTAACCTGGGGCTCTTCCCTCCCCTCTCCTCACTTGCCCATGACCAAACACGTGAGGAAATCCCCATCTGCCTAGAGGTGAGCTCCCAGGTCCCCACATGCCCACCAGCACTATGCCCTAGTCTGCCCCTGAAGCCCTCATCTTCAGGCCCCTGGGGGCTGCCCACCGACCACCCAGCCAGCTCACCGGCGTGGGAAAATGGCCTGAATTAATTTTTAAAATACCAAACCAGCTGTGTGTTCTTAGAAATGACACACTAAAAAAAGTAGCTATATTTTTCAAAGATTTTATGAGAGGAATGTCATTGTCTTTCTATTTGCAAGCCTTTTCCAAGCCTGGCTTAGCTGTCTGGCTTTGGGCTGTCAGGCAGTCACATGACATGCTATCTCTGGAATATGGCAATGAACATGTATGGGAGAATGATTGTGGACAAGACAAACAAAATGGGAATATTCCATAAAAGTGGCCATGGTCTGCTGTGTTCCCTTAGAGATTGTTTCAGAACCCCTTGGGGTCATGCTGAAAACCTCCATCCTGACTCCTAGCTTCGGGATTGGAGCAGAATTTCCTTGTTAAAGGCAAAAAAAAAAAAAAAAAGGGTTTCATTTCAGCTTACAGTTTGAAGTGGCATGGCACAGCTGCCCTTCATGGTCTGGCATGTGGTGGAGGCTGGTCGTGGCAGGTGCAGCCACGGTGTTCACACCATGAGGCAGGAGGCAGAAAAGACAGCACCTGGGTTGAACTTGAGCTTGAGGAATCAAAACCTCCTGGGAGAACTTCCCTCCCAGGGCATGGCGCCTTCTCCCTCCAGCCCTACCTCTCAGACCTCACTGGATCAAGTCTCTGTCCTGACTTCAGAGTTCCAACAGCTGACCTTGCATCACCCTTCTCCCCCATTTTAGCACAAGAAATAGCACTACATAAGCTGGAAAGAGAAGGGACTCACCAGGATTGTATTCAGGAAAGTGAACATAGGATTGGTGTCCACAGAACCAGCAGCCACAGTCCCAGGGCACTGGCCAGCCACAGCCTCCTGCTTAAAGTTGTTCAGAACACTGCTCGAGTTGCTGCTCGGCCTCTGGGCCAAGGCCACATGCTAAGAGGATTCCTCATGCCACCAGCCCCTTAGAATGGTTTCTGTCATTGTCTAAGATTTATTTAGTTAGTTATGTGAAAGGCAGAGTTAAGAGATAGATAGATCTCCCATTCGCTCTTTCCTTCCCTAAATGGCCACAATGGCCAGGGCTAGGGTCAGGCCCTCACCAGGAGTCAGGAACTGCCTCCTGGTCACCCACGTGGGTGGCAGGGGCCCAAACACTCAGGCCCTCGTCGGCTGCCTCTCCAGCCACATTAGCAGGATAGGAAGTGGAGCAGCTGGGACACAGTGCAGTTTTTATATCACATGCCAGAGTCACAGGTGGTGGCTCAAGGCAGTATGCCACCATACCAGCCCTGCGTGATTGACAACAGGACTTACTCCCAGCCATGCACGTTCACGGACATTTCTAAGGAAATATCTGTGATGTGAAGTGCACTGAACACCTTTGTCTTCCCTCTTCTTTCCAGGTATAACATTTCTGATGATTTAAAGGTTGGCTTTTTCACCACAGACCATGCCACCCAAACAGACCACACCGAAATTTTGCCAGTAAAGGAGTTGAGTTTATCTACACGGAAGTTACTGCAGGTAATTATGGATCTACTTGTCAATTCTGACATGATTTTCAGATATGTTTAGCCTTCCTGTCTCTTTCATTGACGGAATTAAAATGATTAAAATGTAAATTTTAACTTTGACAACTTTGACAAACCAAGCTGATGAACGATTGTGTTTTTCTGTAGGTAAAACATCTCTGATTTCGATCATGAATTAGGTCATGATGTGCGGCATGCCTGTGCGTGTCACCTTGTTTGGTGAAATATTCGGTTAGCTTTTGACATTTCTGAGCATTTTTCTCTGATACTTTGAAATTGATTAAAGCATATGTGATACAGAGAGAGAGCGCCATGCTATGTTAATCACCACAGAACTTTACTAGACCTCTACAGTGTGACCTCTTCCCATCGGATCTTTCTCAGTTGTCAAGAAGGAGCCCACCTCGTGTCCATTAGCTCTGACGAGTCGTTGGGAGACCGTCTCCCATGCTGGAGTGTCCCCCCTGCAGATGTTCCGGCATGCCTTGCTTTGGGGAGCTTGCGCTCCACTGTCCCTTGAGAGGACTGTCCGGTCCTGGCAACACAGACTCCTGGTTCTGTCCCAGACGCACACCGTGGATTAGGCTGTCTCTCCGTGTCTCGGCCTCCCATCCTTGGCTTGGAGGAGTCGTCTGCCTCTGCTCGTGGGCCGGTGGCTCTGTGTGCAGCAGTGTTTGAAGTGAGTCAGAGGATGTGTGCATGAGTCATGATGAAGGTCACTGCCAAATTACCCCTGCATACACATCACACCACATTACTCTCCTCCTGGTACCTTTTAAGGGTGTTTTCCTCACATGCTTGTCAAATTATGGCTTGTTTTATGAAGACAGCTGTCAGAAGAAAAGTCTATTATCATCTCCCCTGGTAGCCAGGTCGCTCCGGTGACTGAGTTTCCATCAGGAGGATTTAGATGGAAACTTTTGTGTAGAGTCGCTGCACCTGACCTTTGTCACTTGTTCTGGACCTCCCTCCTCCTTCCCTTTCCTCTTCCCTTATTTCCTTTCCCTCCTTCCCTTCCCTCCTTCCTTTCCCTCCTTTCTTCCTTCTTTTCTTCCTCATTCCTCCCCTCCCCTCCTCTCCCCTCCCCTCCCCTCCCGTACCCTCCTCAGCCTGACCCAGCCCCTGCTCTTGTGGCCATCTGAGGAACGAACCAGCAGATGAAAGGTTTCCCTCTTTTTCTCTTTTTTATTCAATCTTTGTCACTTTTTCAAATAAATGTATTTTAAAGCTTGGAGGTGAGAATTCAATCCTAATCTCCTGTGAGAATGGAGGGGCTCAAGTGCTTAAGCCACCACCTGCTACCTCCTAGGGTGCGCATCAGCTTCTGAATCCACACACTCTGGTATCTGATGTGGGTGTCCCAAGTAGCATTGTAACAAACTGTTATGCCAAATACCTAAGTTTGTAAAATTTTAAAATTATCCTTCTGTTGATCTTCAAGCTTACAAACCCTTTTCCCTGCCATCTTTATTCCTTCAAATACTTCCAGCGAAGTTTTAGTTTCAGATAACTCAAGAGTTAAATCTAGAGTTTGTTTCCTTTATCATGGTTTCTATTTCTGTTTCTTTTTTTGTCTCCATTTATCCCAACCATATTTTTCTTCGCTCCAGCATGCATAGTTATAATAGTTGCTTTAAAATCTTTTCTTGGAAATACCAACATTTTGGTAAAATTGGGATTGGTCACAGTCATCAGTTTTCTTGAGATTACATTGTATTTTCCTTTTTTGACTAACAAATGATTCAGAATATGTTGCAAATGTTATGATCTGGTCTCTGATATGTTCCCCTGGAGACTGTCACTGTTTTTATTTTAATGCATAAGCCATTTGATTTAGTTTCTTCACCTCCAGCTGGGCTGCTTGTAATCGACCCTAAGTGTATGTTCCCAGGGCAAGCCAGATATTTGGTCTGAGTTCTGAGGTTGACTTTAGAGTTCCTCTTCTTGGTTCTTTCCCTCTGGGACCTCTTGCACAAATATTGTCGCATAGCCTCTCAAGGTCTGTACTGCAAAAGAAAGACCTCCCACATGATGTAAGAGTACTGACGGGGAATTCTTCCCAAGATGCCAACACATCTGCACTCAAAGCCCACGCTCAATATGGTTAGATCCCATTTGCAGAATTTGCAAGGGGAGCATTGCTGGTTAGATCCATGACTCTGTATTTGAATCAGATCAGGGATAATAAAAAAATATACTGGTAGAGGTTAAAACACCCACATCTACTCTCACCAGGCCTAGGCTTGAGTCCTGGTTCTGCTTTTGGTCCAGCTTCCTGCTGATGCTCAGCCTGGGAGGCGGCCAGGGATGGCTCAAGTAGGTGGGTCCCTGGCTTGAGTTCCAGGCTTCTGGCTCTGGCCTGGCCCCTGTTGGAGATGTTGTGGGCATTTGGGGAATGTACTAGTGGATTCTCTCTCCCTCTGTCTCCCTGTCTGTCTTTTGTCTTTCAAGTACCTGCAAACAAATGAAGAATAGGTTATTATTATTTTTTTAAATAAATACACAGGCAACAGATTCCTGCCTGTATTTTCTGATGTGAAATCTGCATCTTCAAATGAATCCTCACCTAGTCTTTGGGGTATGATAAAAGATTCCTACTTTTCAGTGCAGAAATCTCATTTCTATATGGAAGCAAAATACTGCACACTTCGTCTGTCTTCCTCTATTAACACATCTTAGCTTGGCAGATTAACTGTCATTTGGAATGCTCAGCTGCCATTAGAACGGAATGACTAGAATTCCCCAGCGTGCGCGGTATCTGAAAGATAATCGGAAGAGACAGGGCAGGCCCGTGGTCAGGCACCCACATTCTTTGCACAGAACCACAACTACTCCCTGTCTCCAACGATGTGTATTTTCTGATTTTTAGATGGTCGAATCTATCCAGCTGGATTTTGGGTTCCTCAAACAGCTGCTGCAGTTGAAGTTTGAGGACCAGCTGAAGGAGCAGTCTTTAAATCTCTTCAGCGTTCTCTACGACCGGATCCTGGAAATCGAAAAGCACCACCAGCAGGTGGGCATCCGCCTTGTCTTGTGTCCTCGGTGGGCGGACATCGTGCGTGGACGCGTGGGACTGCCGCTCGGAATGCAGCAGGGTGACCTACCGTTGGTTAACGCATGCCTCCCACGTGGTAACAAAAACATGGTGTGTCCTTAAACGCTGACCCCGTGATGTAGATGTGCTTCTCCCTCCTGTTGCCCAGATGCTCAAGGTCCCCATGTGGTAAAGAGCCACAGAGTTCCGTTTCCAGCCCAGGCTGACCCACGCTGAGGACACACCAGCAGCCGCTTCAAGGCAGTCCCTGAGACAGGCTTCCAGTGCAGCAGGCTTACCTGGTGGAAGGAACTGCTGCTGTTTCAGTGTGAATCAGTGACAGGTCCCGCTAGCTGAGGCCCGGTGCCTCTTACGAGTAGGTTACGCTGGCAGTTATATCGATGAGACACTGCACTATATCCCGGAAATACGTGTTTAAATCCTAAACAACGACAAAAATCAACCAACCAAAGCCCTCCCCCAACTCCGCATTTTCTTGTTCTCCCCACTGCATTAAGTTTGAGGCTAATCCTTTGGAGCATTTGTAAAGATCCTCAAAAATCCTAAACTGAAGACTCGTCATCCTTGCTCCACAGACACTGAGCTTGCCAGCGTTAAGTGGCTTGCCTAAAGTCAGGTGATCCTAGGGGCCTGCCGATCTTTAAATACTGTCTGGCCTGTTTGTGCTCTCAACTTGATCCTGGAAGCAAAACTGCTTTCAGATTCAAGGGAATTTTTTTTTTTTTTAAATATACATACTGTCTTTCATCAGTATCCCCTGTAGATCTTATAAATTTTACTGGGTTAGTGATTCTTGCTTAGGGATTGTACACACCATAGAATCCTTCCATGGCAGACCTGCAAGGCCCAGAAGAAGAGGAGGATTCCCAAACAGATGTCACCGCTGTTTGAAAGGCGGCCCTGGGAGGTCCCCGGAAGACTTGGCATGGATGTGTCCCAGAAGCATTTCCATGAGCTGCGCAGACGTGGCTACCCTGTCTCCTGGGATGTGGATCCTCACGGAGCTCAAAGGAGTTGGCCATAACTGCCAGGAGGGAGAGATGATGATAACCTGAGCTCATCTCAATTGGGGTGGCAGTATTTCCACCAGACACCCCTGCCCAGGGGTGGGTAGTGTGGGCAGCGTCGGCCGCAGGACTAACTGTCCGCCTTTGTGGCTTGCAGAATGAGGAGAACCTGAGAAAATGCTTCCGCCAGCAGCTGGCCGATGCCATCGCCGTCATCAGGGGCTCCTACAAGGTATGGTGAAGCTCGCTGCATCTGTGTCCTCCACTCCGAATGTGTACTGCCTCACGCTCCAGGCCCACTCTGAGCTCATGGTGCCCCAAAGCCCCATCTGGTATGGCAGGCCCCTGGGCAGGGGTCAGAGTGAGCCTGGTTGGAACAGCTGCACCAAGGTCTCATCGTGTTCCCCCCCGCCACAGGAGGTGGTGAGGGGGTGCACGGCGTCCGTTGGACTCCACTGGAGGGTCTCAGACTCTGTGGAGGAAATTTTGTCTCAGTCACACGGCGAGCTTTATAAATCCATCCGTACAGGAGGGCTCTTGCTCCTAAGAGCTCTCTCAAGGCCTGAGGAAGGTCTTGGCTTCCTGTTAGTATCTGTGGTCCATGTCCGCACCTTCCAGTTCAGTGTCAGTCCATCACTAAACATTTTACAGCTGGTGGCACGCTGAGTCTGGTGCCCTGCACCTAGCACAGGTGCACCTGCTCCAGGAGCAATTCCCGCCCCCCCACACCGCTGAGCTTGTCGCGGGGGCGGGGAGCTTGATTCTCCAGTAGCATTTTAATGTAGTTGAGCCTGGTGGCTAAGAGCAAACGCAGCATCTGCCTGAGGTGGGGACTCTGGAATCGCAGTGCGTGTGTTCAAATCGTGACCCTGTCACTCCCCTGGTGGGTACCTCCAAGCCAAGTACCGACTCTCTCTGCCTCACTTCCGCTAGGGCTCATGGCATCCCTGCCTCACGGACACGTCCTAGCGTCCTGACCCTCGACAGTGCCAGCGATGCGCTGAGCAGACAGAGGGCCTTCACAGGTGCGCGGACTCCTGGGCGCCTGTCTCTTACTGCCTCATCTTAAGCCTTTGCATTTGTTGACCATCTTTCTGCTGGCTGCGGGTCTCAGGACTGAGAAAATACTGCTCGAGGCACCTGCTGTCATTCTCAGTATGGACTCTGTCCAGTCATGGTGGATATTGCCATTTTGGGAACCACCAGGGGTCAGCAGTCAGCAGTCTCAACCCCAGAGACATAGTGGGGATATACGTTGCTGTTATAATGACCCAAAGGCAGCAGTAAAATGCAGAAAAATATGGGGCTGAGCTAACTTTAATGAAGATGAATTCTTTCTGAGCGATGTGACCAAGGCTTGTGGAGGGAAGGCCCGTGGACTTGAACCAGTTGGACCCCAGCATTACAGAGCGAGGAAGAGGCGAGAACTGCTGGTGGGTTCTGGGAGAGCTGTGACCTTACGTGCCTGCTGTCAGACTGTCACATCACAGTCCCACGGCACAGGGATAAGAGCGTTCACCAGAGTTTATGGGCACGTGTGAGAAGAACTCTTGTTTTGGTGGGAGTCTTTGGAAAGATGAGGTGATGTTTGTGCTGTTTTTTTTTTTCCCCTCTAATTTTACTTTATAGTTTTAAAACATTTTTTTTTCCTTTAAAATATGTATTTATTTGAGTTACATTGCGAGAGAGAGCCAGGAGCCAGAAGCTTCTTCCAGGTCTCCCACGTGGGTCCCAAGGACCTGGGCCATCCTTTGCTGCTTTTCCTAGGCCATTAACTGAGTGAGAAGTGGAGCAGCTGGGACATGAACCAGTGCCCTAAAGGGTGCCGGTATAGGAGACAGTAGCAATATGAGCCCCTGTGTTGTGTTTTAAAGCTATGACTCAGTGGGTGGAAAGAAGAAGTTAGAGCAGGATTTCAGGCAGAACCTAGAAGAATATGCATAGATTTGGTAGCAAATGATGAAAATCTAATTTAGGTTGACATTAGCTAAAAAGAGAACTTATTAGCGTGTATAATGGATATATATCAGATGACTTCAGGATAAGCTGATTCTAGATTTTGTGATCATAGCACCAAGCCATTGTCCACCCCCTGCTCCTTTTCCAGCTCCCTGCCTGTGGCCTGGGAAAGCAGTAGAGGACGGCCCAAAGCCTTAGGACTCTGCATATGTATGGAAAACTATGAAGAAGCTCCAGGTCCTGGCTTCAGATCAGCTCAGCTCTTGCCATTGTGACCACTTGAGGAGTGGTGGATGGAGGAACTTTCTGTCTCTCTCACTGTAAATCCACCTTTCCAATAAAAATGAATAATATTTTAAAAATAAATAATACTAATGAGCACCATTTTGAAGCTATTAGAGAAGTATTGTTAGGGAAAGGGCAACCACGTGATGGAGCCATTCGTGAGCTGTAATGCTGGGGTTGTGATGTCATCAGAGAAGTGCTGTGCCTTGAAATGTGTCAGAATCAATCGGACTCGATAGGACACCCTCAGAAACACCTGTTGCCCCCACGTCCCCTGGAGGACTGGCATGTGGCCGGCCATAATCATGGCTGTTTCACCACTTGTTTTTGAAAAGTAATTGAGTTTGGAAACTGTGAGTTAGCCCTTCACTTCTCCTTTTCTGCATCAACAAATGTCAGTCTGTATTTGATGTTTCAAAATCTCCACCAACTTCCACCTCTGAGGGGTGTCCGCTGTCGCTCGTGATGGTGTCCTTCAGGTTGGGATTCTCTGGGAACATTTTGAGGCCAAAAATGAAGGTTTTTTTTTTTTTTCTTGTAAAGGTTTGTCTAATTAAAAAAAAAGTTATTTAAGGAGGGTTCTCAGCCAGCCTTTCCTGTCCTGGCCCCTCAGGTTTTTTTTGGATTTACTGTGTGTTAGTTTGCTAATTGTTTTCCGGATGTTGTTTTGTAGGGATAAGGGTTCCTTCCCCACTTTTCTTCCTCCCTCCTCAGATTCCTTCCCTCCATTCTCCCCACCCCATATAATCACAGTGTAAGTGTAGTCCATTAGCAACACTTACAAGTTTAGCGTTCTGCTATCTAATCATGGCATTGTAGGTATAGGCGAAGGTAGAAAAATTCAGCATTCTATTGTAAAGGTATAATGAACTCACTGGTAGTCCTACTTTTATTTGGGTGTAAAGACGTGTACTGCAAATTGTCTTCACTTACCAGTTTGCTCGCCTTCATTCTACAGTTCATCCGTGAGAACATATGTATATACTTGCTCACAATATATCTATCTATTTTGCATTTTGTTAAGTTTCAGCCATGATTGAGCACAAGAGAGTGGAAGACACAACCAAAGTCTGGAATTTGCCTCTCTTCTGCCCTCTGCAGGCCTGTTAGTATTACAGCTCCTTTTAAAAAATAGCTTTGGGCCAATATCTAACTCTTGCTTTTTTTTTTTTTTTCCTTAAAGATTTATTTTATTTTTATTGGAAAGGCAGAATTATAGAGAGAAGGAGAGACATAGAAAGCCATTTGTTGGTTCACTCCCAAAGTGGCTGCAATGGCCGGAGCTGAGCCAATCCAAAGCCAGGAGCTTCACCTGGGTCTCCCACATGGGTGCAGGGTCCCAAGGCTTTGGGCCATCCTTCACTGCTTTCCCAGGACACAAGCAGGGAGCTGGATGGGAAGCGGAGCAGCCGGGACATGATCTGGTACCCATGTGGAATCTTGGGGCATGCAAGGCAAAGATTTAGCTATTGAGCTACTGCATCAGGCTCTCTAGCTGGGTGTTGAGTGTTATCTTAGTACCCAACTTACAGGGAGGAGGAAATGTTTTCTGAAAAATTATATACTTGTTTTGATAGCTGGATCATACATTAGATCAATTTTCAGTTGTCTCAGCACTGTCCATACTGACTTCCATAGTGGTTGTACTAGCCTGCACTCCCACCAGCACTGAGGGAGGGTGCCTTTCTCCCCACATCCACGCTGGTAGGTGTTATTGTAGAGTCCTGAATGCAGGCCAATCTCACTGGAGTTAGGTAGAACCTCAGGGTGGTTTTCATTTGTATCTCCCTGATGACTAGGGAGCCTGAACATGTTTTCTCGTGTCTGTTAGCCATCAGAATTTGTGCTTTTGAAAAATGTCTGCTCATCTCCTTCACCCATTTCTTCACAGGGTTGTTTGTTTTGTTCTCATTGAGTTTCTGAAGCTCTTTGCAAATCCTGGATGTTAGTCCCCTATCTGCTGTGTCGTATGCAAAGATTTTCTTCCGTTCTGCTGGCTGCTTCTTCACTTTGTTGATCGTTTCCTTTGCTGTACGGAAGCTTCTTAGTTTGATGTAGTCTCATTTGTTTATTTTGGCTTTGACTGCCTGTGCTTTTGGTGACTTTTCTAAGAAGTCTTTACCAATGCCTATTTCTTGAAGAGTGCTTCCTATGTTTTCCTCTGATAGTTTGATGGAGTCTGGGTGCAAATTTAGGTCCTTGATCCATTTAGAGCTGATTTTTGTATAGGGTGATAAAGCAGGGCGGGGGGGTCTTGCCTGTTACCTCTGCAGGCTGCTGTCCCATTGTCCCAACATTTCCACTGGATTATTTTCAGATCTCTTGTGGAAGATTAGTTGGCTATACATATGTGGGCTCCCTTTTTGTGTTTCTATTCTGTTATATTGATCTTCTCTGTTTCTGTACCAGTGCCAGACTGTTTTGATGACCACTGCTCTGTAGTATATCTTGAGATCTGGAATTGTGATTCCTCCAGCTTGACTTTTATTTTTCAGGATAGTTTTGGCTATTTATGGCCTCCAGATGAACTTTTGTGTCATCTTTTCTGTTTCTGAGAAGAAGTTGTTGGGATTCTGATTGGGGTCGCATTGAATCTATAAATGACTTTCGGTAATATGCACATTTTGATGATGTTGATCCTACTGACCCAGGAACATGGTACAATTCTTCATCTGTTGATGTATTCCTCTATTTCTTTTTCTAGTTTTATAAAATTTTCATCACAGAGATCCGCTTCCATTGGTTAGGCTTATTCTAAGGTGTGTAAGGTTCTTGTTTCAAAGAGGACCGTACTTACAAGTTCTTTCTCAGACATGGAGTTATTTGTGTATACTAAGGCCATTGATTTATGTTCGTTTTTGTTTTCTGCTGCCCTGCCAATCTCTCTTATGAGTTCCAGTGGTCTCTTTGTTTAGTGTTTTGGTTCTCCTAAGTACAGAATTATGTTGTCTACAAACAGGGGTGATTTTAATTCCTTATGATTTTTCT